TTATTTCAAAGAAATATTAAAACTGTTTACAATTATAAAACACTTAAGACATATTTGGCAATATATAACCTTAAATAAATGCTTTATTTTGGGTAGTCCTACCCAAAAAAACGAAAATTGGAATTTTAGCTTGAAAATTTAAAAACCAGAATTGAACTACCTACTATCACTGAAAACACTAAAAGTATTCACAGATCATCTTTTTAAAAATTCCTGTATCTAGCGGCCAGGGGCTGCAGTACCCACTGTAGTCCCAAGTACTGCAGAGGCTGAGGCGGGAGGATGGCTTGAGCCCAGGATTGGTAGTTCAGCCTCAGCAACATAGCAAGACCCTGTCTCTGAAAAGCAAACAAACAACAACAAAAAACCTAAAGATTACATGTTATTTGATTATTTGGTAAAAGGAATTTAAGGAGGAAAAAATCCTACATCTAGCAATATGTCCTAAGTAAATAATTCAGAATATCAAAGTCAAAATCCCAAAATGCACATTTGTAATAAAAAAATTCCCCGAAAAAAATCTAAAAGTCCAGTATAATAGAGAACTGTTAAATTATAGTCTATTCCTATAGACTACAATGAAGTCATTTAAAATTATGTTTTCAAAGAATCTTTGGTAGAATACGAAACATTATATTTAAAAAGCAGGCCAGGCATGGTGGCTCACACCTGTAATCCTAGCACTCTGGGAAGCCGAGGTGGGAGGATAGCTTGAGGTCAGGAGTTCAAGACCAGCCTGAACAAGAGCAAGACCCTGTCTCTACTAAAAATAGAAAAATTAGCCGGATATGGTGGTGCACGCCTGTAGTCCCAGCTACTTGGGAGGCTGAGGCAGGAGGATTGCTTGAGCCCAGGAGTTTCAGGTTGCTGTGAGCTAGGCTAACGCCACAGCACTCTAGCCCAGGGAGGGAGGGAGAGAGGAAGGAAGAAAGATAAAAATAAAAAAAATTAGCCAGGTGTGGTGGCAGGCACCTATAGTTCCAGCTACTCTGGAGGCTGAGGCAGGAGGATTGCTTGAGCCTAGAGTTTGAGGTTGCAATGAGCTATGATGACGCTACTGCACTCTAGCCCAAGTCACAGAGTAAGACTCTGTCTCCAAAAAAAGAAGGAGGGTGCAGGCAGGGCACACAGTACCTCACTCCTATAATCTCAGCAGTTTGGGGGCCCACTGGAGCCCAGGAATTCGATACCAGCCTGGGCAACATAGTGAGACCCCTATCTCTTTAAAAAAATATATATATATACACACATATATATATACACACACACACACACATATATATAAATAGATACATATAAACACATACATATTTATATATGTATATATATAAAATCATGCAGGGAAAAAAGAGATAAAGCAAATACCATAAAATGTTACCTGAGTGGTAAAATTGAGTGATTTTTATGTTTTGTTATATACATTTCAGTTTATTTTAATTTTTCTAAAGAAAACAGACATTATTTTTATAGTTAAAATTAACGATAAAAACATTTCGTATCAAACTTCTATTGTAAAATACAATGTTTAAAATCAGATAACCAATATTTTTGCATTTACACTATTACCTTAAGAAAAATGTCCCTTACTTGAATAGGTTTCTCACC